GGAGAAGAAATGTTTTGAGAATGATGAGGGCAATGAATGTACAAATGCGCTTTACACAATTGATGTATGTATGGATTGTCATAAGAGTTGTATGAACCCCTAATAAAATGATTAAAAATAATAATAATGGGCTCATATATGACAATAATTGTGAGGACAGTGTAGGACTGTGTAGTGTTTCAATGTGTTGTACATAATCAGAAGCAACTTGATAGCACCTAACAACAACAACAACAACAAGAAAGACCAGTTAATATGAAAATGCCTGTAATCTATGAGCCAAGCACCGATGCTAAAGACGAAGAAATGGAAGACTTCACCAACTTCTGCAGTCTGAAATTGATCAAACATGCCATCAAGGTGCATAGATACTTACTGATGACTCGCAGTTGAAAATTATGGCCTTGGGAATAGAAATGATGCTGGAGATTGAATGATAGGATTTTGTACGACCAATGACTTATTCGTTGAAAACAACAAATGCACAGTGGCTCAGTCCCTTAAGGTATTTGATTCTGCGTATAGAAGGGCAAAGTTAGGGCGCCTTTTTAGTCAGAATCAAATACCTCAGGGACTGAGTCTCTGTCCTTGAGGGCTTAGGACTATAGTTTTGGAGGACAGGTAGGTCAATTGGCATAACATAGTCCATAAAGACAACATTCTCTATCCTACTTTGGTGAATTATGACTACGGTCTTAAAGACTCTTGGAAACAATTAATCCAAAGGGTTAATGGACCCCATGAACCACATTGCTTGGATATCACTACTGAACCCTCTGATAGGGGTCACAATTAATTACAAGGTTCCAGAAAGAAAGGGAGAAATATATAGAAAACATTTAAAATCAGGTTTCAGTCAAACAACAGGCCTATACAGTGAGTACAAAACCTGTGCGTTAATGCTTCTCAGAACAATGACCCATGTAAGACCCAAATGGCAGCATTTGATCACATAGTTCAGAACCGAGGAGGTGGCCGAAAAGATGGGCAGGTGGAAACAGAAAGCACAGGGAGAAAGTGGGAAGAATGCTGTTACCTTTAGGGGACTGCAGCTAATGTCATCAAACAAAATGGGTACAAATTTCTGAATAGGAAACTAATTTGCTTTCTAAAGTTCTACCCAAACAAGAGTAAAAAGTTAAAAAAATAAGGCAGAAGGAGCACACAGAGACTGTCCCAAAAACAAATGGTTGGTGTTCAACCGTTTCAGGAGGTGCAGATGAGCAAGAGCCGAGGGTAATGAAGGAAGGAGTCTGGGCCGCACTAAAGTCACTGGTGAAAAACAAGGGTCCAGGAACTGCTGAATATCAATTGAGAGGTTTCAACAAAGGGATCCAATACTAGAAGTGTTCAATTATTTATGTCAAGAAATCTGGGTGATAGTTACCTGACCAACTAATGGGAGGAAATCCACATTTGTACATCATTTCAAAGAAAGGTGATCCAACAGAATGAGGAAATTATCAAACAGTATCATATGTAAGTAAAATTTTGCTGAAGAGACCAGTGGTGATACCGGGAGGGTGGACGGAGGATGGGGTGGAAGGTGGGGAACCGATTACAAGGATCTACATATAAGCTCCTCCCTGGGGGTGGGGCAATAGAAAAGTGGGTGAAGGGAGACAT